ATATATATATATATATATATATATATATATATATATATATATATATACTCTGAGAGTACAATGTAAAAGAGGATGCTGCAGTGCAGGGCAGGATGGACTAACCTTTACAAGCACTGAAGCACACATTCATACTTTAGTGAATAGCTAAGATTGACTTTGAAAAATAAATTCTCATAGACTGCATTGTTATATTGCTATTTGATGTCTTTCATGAAATGTTATTTTACTGAAATAAGGTCATTAGTCTTAAAAAAGAAGAGAAGTTCTCCTTAGAAGGTGATAGAAATCATGTCTCCACTTTAATTAATATATTACAAAATTGCTCTGGGGGGGTTAGACTTGCAGGTTTTTCTTCTATGAATGTGAAAGTAAGAATAATGGAATCTAATTAAATTTACGTGATTATTTTTAACGTTTTACACACACTAAAAACTGCTGGGTTGTTTTATGACTCAAGGGTTAAAGTTGAGTTGGTTTACCCTTACAAAAAAATCCCATGAATTTCACGTGTTCACATGTGGTTCCCATTTTCCACATGTGATCAAGTATTTTGTTCATGTGTTCTATATTCTTTACATCTTGTGATCACATAATTCTCAAATGTGAACACATGGGAATCACGTTTTTATTTTTATTTTTTACCATGAAACGTTCCAAAATCACACGTATACATGTGCTTTTACATGTCCTTCACATCACTCATACATCATTCCCACATCATTCACATGGGAGAATTTGTGTGAACCACATGTGGAGTTTTCAAGTGGTACATGAATTTCACATGTGATTTTCACATGTGAAATTCATGGGATTTTTTTTTTTTGTAAGGGCAGTTTTTAATAAAACCATTGGGTCAAAAGGTTTGATCCAGCGGGTTGGAGAAAAGCAGTGTCATTCTTCACTGTCTGACATTTTCAAACAAAATATGACCATACTGTACTTGACAAGACCTCTACTTTAGGTTGTATTGAAAAGGACAAGATGGTAAAAACAACTTGACTTTAGTTTAGGTTAAAACAATGAGTTTTATATAATAACATTAGAAAGTGCTCACTAGCTGATACTAATGCAGCTAATGCCTGCAAACTAGCACGAAACCAAGTTGTATTGATGTAATAATTCAGACTTTGGAATATAATTGTATTTTATTTATTTATTTATTTATTTTTTTGTAGTTCTTATTCTACAAATTACTCACTTTAAAACAGTGTTGGTGTAAAAACGTTAATCCAGTATCTTGGATCAAACTGAGCACCTAACCATGCTGGCATAGGCGTCGCAACAATTGTATGTAAAAATGTGTATAAAACATGTATAAACAATTTAAAGGACCATTTAAAAAATATTCATTTGGACCCCCCCCCCCACACACACACACACACACATTTACCATAAAATATTAGTTCACCCTGCACTGTTTCTATTTCTTTGTGAACAAATCCATTCCACTTGATTAAACCACTAAAAGTCCACTCCGGGTTTTTCTGGCTACCTACAACAACTCACCACACGCATGCAGTGTTTTCCCTCCGTCATCTGCCTTGGCATGACGCTCATCTCTGAGGGTTTTTTTTTGTCTACGGTGCAGAGCGAGGAGAGGGAGACACCTCTGTGTTGCGTGCTAGCTTAGCGCTACGTTAGTCCTG